CAACAAGTTCTTTGCATACCAAATTCCTAAATATTGCACTTCCTAAAAAGAAAGATAAAGTACATCATATCATATAAGCCATATTATAATCAAATACCTCTCCCAACCATCTCGAATCATTTTCCATACAAGCTCAACGAAACATAGTTCTCAACAAAAGGGTATAGCCTGCCCACCTCATGAGTAATGGCATTCGATAAGTTCATCGCTTTATTCGTTGCACAATCTTGAACCATTAGATCACCCCCCGACTGTAGATAAAACAACTTATCATTCTCAAAGAGGCCCATAAAACTACGCATCTTATTGACGAGAAACTCGGACTCTAGGCACCACGACAAACTGGCGGCGTCCCACACCCAAAGTTCGAAAGCACAATAATTCACCTTGTCTACGTACATAGAAGTCGAAGCCAAAAAACCGAGCGAGCCCCGATATTCAACGAGCCTCTTCTGACAAAATTTATATCCATTGAACATGTTGCTCGGGGGCATAGGAACGCGATATGAATCAAACTTCTCGGTAGCAAAGGTAAAAGACTGGATAAAATTGTGGTCTACGTTATTTAGCCAGTAATAAGTGCCATTTGCGTTAATTTTCATGAATCGATTACCGCACGGATGGAAGGTACTAGGATGAAAGTCGACTCCTTTCCATGAGTTAGTCTTGAGAGAATATAATTCGGCCGCGCCAAGGGAGTAACTCAAATCATCATATCTTCCCAGAAATCTTATCACCTTGTAGTCGTTAGATGTGGAATCATACGCGAAACCAAAATGATTGCGGATTATCTTCACATACCTGTTATTTCACATGATAGAACATAAATGTTTTAAACAAATGACATGCTTCCAAATTTTTCTCTCTCATTCCTGAAAAAGAAATAGACAATACAAGATATGAAAATTTAAACTAAAAAGAATCGCCCAACCACAATCAAATACAAAAATATGTGGATCACATTCAACCGCTTTGCAGGACGAGGTTGAAGTTATATACTTGCGCGCGTTCACACTAGGGGCGGTACCGTAATTATACTTGCGCGCGTTCCCCTAGTGTGAACGCGCGCAAGTATATAAGCAACCTCGTCCTGCAGAATGTTGGTCAGTTATATACTTGCGCGTACTTGCGCGCGTTCACACTAGGGGCGGTACCGTAATTATACTTGCGCGCGTTCACACTTGAACTAGTTAATTACGGTACCGCCCTCTGCAGGACGAGGTTGCTTATATACTTGCGCGCGTTCACACTTGAGTTGGTTATATTCTGCAGGACGAGGTTGCGCATGATTGCTTATATACTTGCGCGCGTTCACACTTGAGTTGGTTATATTCTGCAGGACGAGGTTGCTTATATACTTGCGCATGCGCGTTCACACTTGAGTTGGTTAATTACGGTACCGTCCCTAGTGTGAACGCGCGCAAGTATATAAGCAACTTCGTCCTGCAGAATATAACCAACTCAAAGTGAACGCGCGCGCAAGTATATAAGCAACCTCGTCCTGCAGAATATAACCAACTCAAGTGTGAACGCGCGCAAGTATATAAGCAATCATGCGCAACCTCGTCCTGCAGAATATAACCAACTCAAGTGTGAACGCGCGCAAGTATATAAGCAACCTCGTCCTGCAGAGGGCGGTACCGTAATTAACTAGTTCAAGTGTGAACGCGCGCAAGTATAATTACGGTACCGCCCCTAGTGTGAACGCGCGCAAGTACGCGCAAGTATATAACTGACCAACATTCTGCAGGACGAGGTTGCTTATATACTTGCGCGCGTTCACACTTGATTTGGTTATATTCTGCAGGACGAGGTTGCTTATATACTTGCGCGCGCGTTCACACTTGAGTTGGTTAATTACGGTACCGCCCCTAGTGTGAACGCTCGCAAGTATATAAGCAACCTTGTAATTCAGAATATAACTAACTCAAGTGTGAATGCACGCGCGCAAGTATATAAGCAACTTCGTCCTGCAGAATATAACCAACTCAAGTGTGAACGCGCGCAAGTATATAAGCAACCTCGTCTTGCAGAATTGGTTGTAAGTCGTCGCTTATATACTTGCGCGTGTTCACACTTGAATTGATTAATTACGGTACCGCCCATAGTGTGAACGCGCGCAAGTATATCTAAGTTATATTTGAACTTAACATTATAATTAAAAAAACGTACGCTCTATAGCATTAGAGTTGACTACTACCAAGGCTTTGATTGAGGAGCCTTAGGCTGGCTTTGTTATATAGCACTTCTATCAATAGAGTAAGGCTCCTCTATCAAACTTTCCCTTCGAAGAGTAAGGCTATGTAATAGCTTTTCTATCAAAGCCTTTGAAGAGTAAGAGGCTTCAAACCCAAACCTTTGAAGAGTCATTCATATGACTTGATAGTAGTAACTGTAATGTAACTTAATTTGATCCACATATTTTTGCAAACTTAATTTGATCCACATATTTTTGCAAACTTAATTTGATCCACATATTTTTGCAATGGTCTACCCGTGCCCATTAAACTGCCATTAGACTTGAAATGGTCTACCAGCGCCCTTGGCATTTAGACTGTTTAGATTAGATTATCTTCTATCCTGCCTGCCATTTTGAATGTTAAATGAGAACGAAAATAAATATTTAAAACTATTTAAGTAGTACCTCGGATCCAAGGTTGCGGGAGATGGAGGAAGGATTTTGAGTTCGTTGGTTGTGGGATTCCAAAGAGCCTCTTGGGGAATGTCGAGATGTTCACCACAAATGTTATCACACAAAAGTAAAATCAAACCATTGGAAGCAGCATATGGAAGAAAGTTACGATGAGTATCGATCTTATTCATCCTATTTAATATTTTGGGCTCCAAATTCTCTTTGTCGATTGAAACTACCACGTAATTCATGTTTCTAATATTTGAGAGTGGAAACTGCCCAATAATAAACTTGCTCCTCGCCTTCGATTGAAACGAACTCGTATGCAAGCAATTTTCATAAGTAATAGAGAAAGTTTTATGCAAATTTAGCTTACTCTTATTCTTCTTCCAACCGATGGGAAAAGATGAAGATTTGAATAAAGGGTTCTTCTTCCGACCGACGGGGAAAGATGAAGGTTTTAATAACGGGTTTGGGTTAAGATTCAACGACGCCATCCTATATCTCTGCTGGAACAGGAAGGAACACTCCGCCGGACCACTCCTCGCGCAAACGCGCAGAGCATGACCTAAATCTTATTTGGGCCTTTTTCAGTACGTGGCCCAATATATACTTCTTAATTTTATTTATTTATTTATTTTTTTTTTTTTTTTTCTTTTTTAGGTAAATGTATTTATCTTCCAAAAGCGATTTACTTTTCGGAATAGTTATTGGCATTATAGTCCTGGAACCCTTACTTCTAGTTCTAACTCTTGAAATCAATATCATGTTCTGTATCACAATTGGAAGTCAAATTTATCATTTTTTTATTTTTTTTTTTGTGTGTGTGTGATACAACAACACTTGTAATTTTGAACTTGGGCTTTTGGTGTTGCAGTTTGATTCGGAGGAGGGAGGCTCTTGTTTACAACACCCCTAATGACCATGTCACACGTGACATACGGGATGGTGTTGCTAAATTGGGTGATTTGCGGTTCCGTGTTCTGGATTCAGCTGGCCTGGAGGCAGAGGCGTCGCCAATTCAGCCAAGATTGCCACAAGCAACCATCATGACAGGTTCTGTTCTTGGGAGAACTGCTGCCATGACAGAAGATGTGCTGTCAAGAGCCCACTTTATTCTCTTTCTCATTGATGCAAGGTTGGACTTTCCATTTTTCTTGAATACTGATATCAGTGATGCTTGTGAAACTTTATGGGGTTGTGTACAGGGACAAACGTAGACCCCTCAAACGAGAGGACACTTTTTAGTTTTAACAAAGTAAGAAATATTAATAATAATATTCAGTATAGCTAATTTTTTTCTAAGGTTTTGTCGATGGCTGGGACGAGAGAAAAGGAAAGTTACGAATATTTTAAATATTCAAATTTAAACGTGATAACATATTATTATTTAGTCGAAATGATCGATCCCATAACTTATTCAAAATTGTGGTATTTAATTTTTAAACAATATTAATTTTTCATGATAAATATGTAAGACTGAAAGTTTAAAAATTTTATTCTTTTAATGCTGAAATAACAGTATCAAACTTTGTACCTTTTATACATTATATTTAAATATACTAAATAATGTAATTATAGCATTATGCATATCTACATACAATTTTACTTTTTCAAAAGTTACACATTCATGCCCCTGTCTAAATCCATTCCACGCCTGGTTGTGTATGTCATGAGACCTACAATGTAAAATGCAGATGTCTTGAGTGGATGCAATATGGTGTTGTTGCGGTGAAGTTTTGAGTAATTATAATTGTGTCACAGATTACATTGTGTGACTTCTCTTCCATAATGAATTAGCATGTAATTTGTTTTGCTTAATTGCATTTTGAATTTAGAGATGGACTGCAACCCATGGATTTGGATGTTGGCAAGTGGTTAAGAAAGCATGCAGCGGGTATCAAGACTCTTGTCGTAATGAATAAAGCCGAGCTGCTTGATGACATTAATGGTACTCTAGCTTCTGCTGCTGGTGAGGCTTGTACATTAGGGTTTGGTGATCCCATTTCTGTGTCTCTGAAACTGGATTTGGGATGACTGAGTTGTATGAAGCTCTGAGGCCACACCTAGAAGACTTTGTACTCAAGTTCATAGATGGTAAATGTCTAGGATACTATTTAGAAGTTGTTCCCCGTTTTGTCTTCGTAACAAAATTTTGATATAATATTCTATTTACACCATTAACTCTCATTTTCCTCTAGTTTATATATAGTATTTGTATGCTTGAAGCCAGGTAGGTTATAAATGAAATTTGGTATCTGTTTCCCTTTGATTGGGGCAGATAGTTGGTAGCAATGTATTGGATTATTTGGAAGCTGGATTCTAAGGTTTTGTAGCACACAGATAATTTTTTGCGTCTTTTATTTGACTATGTATAATGATGAGACAATAATGAGACGATCAATTTATAGGGAGGTTGAGGAAAGAGAAGTTAATACTTGAACTGCCTTTCAGTTGATCAAAGAAAGTCGTATGGAGCTGAAAGCTGCAAATTGTACCTAGAACATGAATATAAGATACTCATCTTGTGGAAATTGCAAAATTATCTGATTCCTAAAACTCCATAATTTTCAGAAAAAATGTATATTTTTTATTTGAATTCAATCCCTTAAGTACTAAAGGAGTTAAGAAGCACACCTTCAGATATATTTTACTATGTCCAGTTACTCGCATGATTATTAATTGCTTGTCCAAACTTTTTATTTGTTTCAGAAGAGAGTGACATTTCGGAAAAGACTGTCCAAGTCTAAATTGTTTATGTTGTAAACCCTTATATTTTTTTGATGTCCTAACCCTTTTTTGTTTCTAATAATAGATGAGGATGTGTTGGGCAAAGACTCCTCTGAGGAAGACGACACTGACTCGAAGCTTCCATTGCAATTGGCAATTGTAGGGAGACCAAATGTAGGGAAGGCTACTTTGCTAAACGCCTTATTACAAGAGAATCGAGTTTTGGTTGGACCTGAAGCTGGCTTGACGAGAGATTCCATTCGAGTTCAATTTCAGTATGAAGGGAGAAACGTCTATCTCGTGAGTGTCAACAGTGTAGTTCTTAGTTTTTATATATATGCTCTCTCATTTGTCTTTGTTTCATTATTTTCTTTTCTTTTTATTCTTCTTGAGTACAGGTGGACACTGCAGGTTGGTTGGAGAGGACAAAGCAGGACAAGGGTCCATCATCGTTGAGCATTGTGCAGACGAGGAAGCATCTCATGAGGGCTCATGTGGTTGCTTTGGTTCTTGATGCTGAAGAGGTCTGTTCTGCTTAGTGCCTGTCCGTTCGCTCTAATTTTCAGAGTACTCGTGATGCTTGGATATAAAATTTTGTATTTTTGTTTGGACTTTTTGATTTGGTTTAGTTAATTTTGAGAAAGGTGGTATGGTTAGTTGTTAGTAGATATATTAAATAATATTTAAAATAAAATAACTAAAATTAATTTGATGGAAAAGCATGAAAGAGATGATGTTAAGTGATGGTTAGTTAAAACTATGTGAGTTGATGAATAGTGAATTAAAGTTGATGTGGTGTGTAAGAATGATTGATTGATATTATTTAATTTTATTGATAATATTGATGATAGTGGGGTTGGGTTAAAGTTGAGTTAAAAAAAAGTGGTTGAGTTAAAAATGTTTGGATTTTTTTGAGAATTTTTGTATCCAAGCATTTACGATCTTTAGATTATTATACAATAATTGTGCCTTTCTTTTCATCTCTTGTACAGTTCAAAACGAGTCTTCTGGTAAAATCTTTCTTTGCGTCTTGTCAACTTGTCGCTTATATTATATGTGACTTTTGTTTATAAAAATACAGATTGCAAAAGGTAGAAGAAGCATGAATCATGCTGAAGTAGTGATTGCCAGGCGGGCTGTCGAGGAAGGGCGGGGTTTGGTTGTTGTGGTTAACAAGATGGATCTTTTGAGAGGGAAAAACAATGCAAAAATGTACCAAAGTGTCATCAATGCCGTACCTGAAGAAATACAGACTGTTATACCACAGGTTCGTCACTTTAGAGCACACCACAAATATCTAACTTAAAATATTCACCTGGTTTTGTTTCAAACTTGTCTGATACGAATATTGCTGACATTTCATTTTCAAACAGTAGAATGTTATATTTCTTAGATAATATATACAGGTGTGTGTGTGTGTGTGTGTGTCGATACATCGGATGCTTCTGTCAATTGTGTTCCAAAGATAGGTTTATTTTAAATTGACAGATTGAGTAAAAATACTAATTTCATTTCATCTCTTGTTTAATTTGCATGGCTATCAACAAAATAGAATCACAAAAATGCAATCATTATTATAATGTTAGATTAGGAAAAACTCCTAATTTTACTTTCCCTACAACAATAATTTCTCTTTTACTAAACCATGTGTAAAATGTAGACGTGTCTATCTTTGTGGGACGACGGAGTATTCTGATTCTGGCTCTGCAATGAAATGTTAATTATCGTGTTTAAAAATTGGTGAAAAAATTGACAGCCTGCTCGAACAATATCACCCAAAAGAAAGAAGATACTATATTATTTTACATATGTTTCATGTAAAATCTGCAGGTGACAGGTATACCTGTGGTATTTGTTTCTGCAATAGAAGGTAAAGGCCGGTTGTCCATGATGCGCCAAGTCATCGATACATACGAGAAATGGTGCTGCAGGCTGTCGACAGCTCGTCTCAACCGCTGGCTTCGCAAGGTTTGGCCCCATAAAAGGGATAATTATGAAAAGTATCCTTGTGTTTTGACCTAATTACACA